GGGAACAGCAGGAGAGGGAAATTAGAGCGAGGCAGGAACGAGAGAGACTAGTTCGGGAGGAACAACAACGGCGACAACGAGAAGAGCAGGAGCAACTGGCACGTGCGCAACGCCGGGAAGCAGCGTACAATGCACTGACATCCAATATTGTATTCAGTGGGGAGGATGGACTTTTGTATCAGTTTCTGGAGAATACGGTCAAGAACGTTGCAGCAGCCGGTCACAAGGCGTGGCAGGCTGAGCTGCAGCAAAAACGAGAGGCAGAGGAGAGGGAATCGAAGCGGAAGGCATTCGCACGAGCAGTGTTCACACACTGGGTCGCGCAGGTGCAGAAGAAGAAGCGAAACGCTAAGGCGAAAGAGAGGAGAAAACGCCTGAAGGCTCAGCGCGAGCAGTCACTCAACGGTGAAGGTGAAGCTGCCAGCGATGCTCCCTCGGAGTCGGTAGCAAGCACGGACCTGCCCAATGGAGACTCGAAAACACGAGGCACGCCTGCCAACGAACGCCGCGCCAGACGAACGCAAAAACGCCGCGCAAGCGCAGCAACCGACAAAAGCAACATCACTTCGCGATCACAAGCTGATTCGTCACGGCAGCCGCAGAACGCACACTCTCCCGCCGTCATGATGAACGGTCACCACACACGCAGCTACTCGGAGGCGTACCAGAAGTCCACTGCACCCATCGACCGCACAGAGACCGACTGGTTCAAGTTACGGGCTATGGGCATTGACCCAAGCAAGCACCGCAAGAGAAGCTTTGACTCGGCCACTGACGAAGACAAGGAGGATGCCGAAGCCAAGCGCGTGCGCAGGTCTGACTCCAACACTACACTGATCTCGCAGCAGCCTCCACCCGAGCCAGAAGCAGCCTCGAAACTGCTCACTATTGACGAACGCTTAGCCCGCATTCGTGCAGCGAAGCAGTCTTTCAAGTCTTCTGGTTCGTGGTCGCCACCAGTCAGCGGTGCAACGCCCAGCAAGCGGTCGTCGTTCAGTGGCCGCGCAAGTCTTGTCATTGCGCAGGCTCGCGAGCTGCTTGCCAAGTCACCTACCGCGAAGCAGCCGCCTGTGACTGTCCACGACTTTGGCCGCAGTGTCCCCAATCTCAGCATGTCAACTGCCTCCTTCCGCTCATCGGCTCTTGGCAAGAGCATTGGCACTGCGCAGAGCAAGAAGCCTGCATACTGGGGTCGCGCCAGCCGCTTTGTCCCACAACATCTCTACGGCAAAGGACCAGAGGCAATTCGAGAGTATCGCGACAAGTATGTCAACTCGCCCACCAGTACACCGCGTCCTCGTAGCAACGAGCCCCTTGCGCTGTCCTCGCCCATCCCCACGCAGTTCCCCTACGTGCCGCAGCGCGGCCCCACACTGCCGCAGTACAGCGAGGATGGGAGTGCGAGTGGCGTAGACGTCGTCGATGTTGATGCCGAAGACAACGTCGCTGGCGATACTGAAGAAGACTCCTTCGACGGCGATGACGAAGAAGCAGAGCACGACGAAGAATACGAAGAGGACGAGGACGAAGAGATTGACGGCCCGGACGAGATTGACGGCTATGCCGACCAGTTCGAGGAGGAAGAAGAGTATACCGAAGAAGAGGATCAACATTTTGCGCAGCCAGGAAGCAGCTTTGGCGCCGGCATTGGCCCTGGAGCTACACAAGATGACGCTATCGAGCTGTCCGACTGAGCTCCATCACATATTTGTACATCATATCGACTGGCATCTGGCGGCATAGCGTTGGCGTTTTCTCGTTTGGTATCAGCGGGTTGAGGCTGTCTACACGTTCTAGAGTACTGTACATTGAGGTTTCGATACCCGAAAAACATGAGATTGAAGGTGTGGGAGTCGAAAGAGAAAGCCGTGCCCTCTTCCTCGCTTGTGTCGTAACTACTATTGTACCCTCGCATACTACCGTCACAATTCCAAATCCTACTACGTTACGGCAACGCTCTACCACCGCATGCCGAGTGATCCCCAGCGATTCTTCCTAACCCCAAAGCACCACACGAAAGCACATTGCCGAACGCGCACAACACCCCTGTCCTCGCATATGCAAGCCCCAATCCTTTCCAGACCCACTTGCTTCTGATTGCACCGTCACTTTCTCACTTCTTCATCTTGAACTTCAGAAAATCGATCGTCAAGATGCGTCATGCAGCCAAGCCGATCGCGCCGGCCACTACCCCTAGTTGCATGTGTGTGTGCTGCAGGCACGGACACGGACGGTGTTTGCTTTTCGCGGCTGCGGATGGCTGGAAGCGACCCATGTCAGACGGGTGGGCCACGCGTTGAGGCGAGCACGTACGGCGCGCGTTCATTGTGTCTCTAAGATGGGGTGTAATGCTTGCGCGGGTGTGTGAGTGCGTGTTCACAGGTATCTGATTGTGTCCGTGGGTTGGGAGCATGTCTGGATCAAGTGCCACCGGAAGCGGACAATACGACGAGCGAGCTGGACTTCGGAGGCTCACTTATTAGCATGACGGCATTAGACTGCTTGTTGTGAAGAATTCTGTAGAGAGTTTTACACGGACTGTGCGATGGAGATGCAGCGATTCTTGATGTCAGTGGAAGTTCAAGCCCGTGCGACGCGGCTCGATCTACTACGGTAGCGACAAGGAACTATCGATTGGATCCCGGAACGGGTGAGGGTACTTAGGTATGGGGGGTTTGGTGACTATGGTGCGAAAACTCAAGCGCGAACAGGCTCCAGGCACAATATGATAGCTTGGAAGGAGGTTGCTGTTAAGGAAAGACGTGGCGGTTCGCGCACATCAACAACGGAAGATATAGAGTATGTAGATGCACGCGCTGATAGCCCTGGAAGTCGCATGAAGTGTACGAGCCCTGGCACTTTACTTGAGGCCTTCGCGTAGATTCCTGTGCAGTGCGAAGGACCGGTTCACTCGGACTCATGGCTGGCATTCACGGTGAAAGTACAGAGTCTGACAAGACCTAAGTGTTCGAAGAAGTTCTCATCATTACGGGGGTTGAGTGCTGGTGGTTCTTAGAGTACGTCACCATGGATCGATTGGGCTGCCCACCTGTGTCGTCCTTCCAGCGGACGGTGCCTGTGCCCGGACTGTATTGAACGAATTGACCAACGGAATTTGGCGAAGATTGTGAACAGATCGCATGCCGAAACCCGAGCTCGTCCGTGTTGGTAAGCTTTTCATATCCATTAACCATTGGTTGGCGCATCATCACCACTGTATCAAGCTCATTCTGGAAGCTGGGTGCGCCTACGCACCAGCTGATCTCCAGTGTCTCGAGACCTCGAATCTTGGGTATCGGGATCATCCACGATGCAACATTGTCCTGCGACAAGCCTATTCCATTGGCACCTGACATACCAAAGCCGTCTGTACTGAATTGCTCGAGGGTTGAGAATGCATCGCCAGAGTGATATCCGTCGTGAGTCTCTATAGAAAGATATAGCGTATGCAGATTCATCCATTGCGAAGCTAACAAGCCACATAGCTTTGAGAAGTAACCTTGAGCATCTTGCAGACGCGCGTTTCTATGAGCTCTTGGGAAGTCGCCATCATGGAACTTTGCGCCGCGGATCTCGCGCAAGTAGAGTTGGATAGAGGTGATAGAGCTGAGTGCGCATGTTAACCTGTCTGCTAGAAAGGTAGCAGCAGCGGGGAGATTGCGTAGCTGGAGTTGAAGGCGAATTATCCGTTTGCGTAAAATGTGCTGCTGGTTTCCGCGTGAATTTGCTGGCAGACCTCAAACAGCTGCAACTCGAGTGCCAGACCACCAAACTCCTGCCACGAAGGTCTGAGCTGATGAGATAATATCGACTACAGTTGAGTCCAGCTGAAAGTCGTCCGCCGGGCAACCTGGATTCCTGACAGACACCGCCAGGTGCTGCAATGCACCAAAGGGTACGTTGAACTGTACACTTGGTATGAAGGCTCACAGAAACCGATCTCCCCGCGGACAGCAATAAGAGACCTGGGCGCCTTTGTGATTGCGCACTCGATTGGGATGCTATCTGGACCAAGGAGGTATTTATAGATCTGATCACGCAACTCTCGAGGCATTCAAAGAAGCGGACAGCTAACGACTGGACTGGAAGATTGTGACTGCATTGCGTTCCTTGATCGCGATGATTCGTTTGCTGTGATCAGAGCCACCGCGGCGCTCACTCGATGTTTGAGATTGCAATTTCAAATTGAGAGTGGTAAACGCGGGCCTGGTAGCATACAGTCGCGAAAACGGGGGTTGAAATGCAAGGAAAGAAGAGATGAGCCTGTCTAGTCCTGGCGTGGGAGAGAGCGAGCCTCTGCCGGACTAACGGCCCAAGCAAAGGTAGGCAATCGCACCATAGGACACATTCAAATGCGCACGACAACTGATACGCTCGAGTTGTATTGCTTGAAGCTCAAGACTCCCCAAGATCCGGTATTGTAGAAGATGGCATGCATTGTTCGAGCAAGCCCAGGCTTCGCGTTTAGTGAATTTGCGACGGTTATGTGCACACACGCTTACCCTCCGCCTGAGCTGACAGCATACAATTAGGCAAAGAACGATTGAACCTCAGCAGGCGATCCGATCAACAACAGCTAAAATGTCTCGGCATTCGCCACTGCTATCTTGCACGGCTCATCACGATTTTCCCTAGAATGCTCAGTGACCAGCGATTAAGTCTCCCGGACCTTGACAAACAGGAATAACATGTCAGAATGGAGACAATGTCCACTAGAAGCATACTGCGGTAGGAGAGAAGGACAAACCGACGCATCTGCGGGAGATCGACACTTGAAGCTTTCAACAAACCCAAAGTAACACAAACACCTAAGCAGACATCTTCATCGCCGGTAGACTTAACAAGAGCTTCAATACGTGGAAAAGGAGCTGGGATTGTGGTAAAGAAGGAGGATGGCATGCTCGAGTACTCCTGTCAAGGCTGGTGTTGGTGTGCGTCGGTCAGAATCGACCTTCACCGACCATGCATCAGAACCCCAACGGCAGCAAAAATGAAACTGATGGACAATCAGGGAATCGAACCCTGGACCTTTCACATGCTAAGCGAAAATTATACCACTAAACCAATTGCCCGTCGTCTGATGATGACTAAGAAACAACTCAGAAAACTTATAACCACATCGAAAATGATTAAGAATGCCCGAAGTCAAACAGAAGCTGACGGGAGAGCAGCAACGAGGCACCTGTGCTGGTTTAGGTCAATCAAAACAGAGGATAAGTTTGCAGGATGGGTGCGTGCGAAAAGTCTTTATGGTCCGGCTGACTGACTCGTGTACGCGAGGCTAGAGCAACCTATAACCCTATTAACCGCACACATAACACACAAGCTAGAAGTTTCTACAGAGTCGGCTATAAGAAAGAGCAAATCTCTCTTTCCTACCTCTGTAGTACGAATAAAGCCTAAGTCTTTGCCCTGTAGCAGAGCATACTAATCCCTTTGTTTAGTTTAGTAACATCTATACAATTCTACCTTAGCCTATATAAATATTAGCTCTAAGCTTATTAACATGTAATTAGTGGAGCAAATAATTAGTTATTCATTAAAGCTAAAAGACAATAATTAGATTAATTAGGTTAGAAAAGAAGTAATTATGTTCCTCTATTAATCTAAGTAACTAGAAAGAGTGCTTATATATATATACGCTACCTTTATTTAGGTTAGCCTACCTATAAACCTAACTATTACTATAGTAATTAACGTGTTTCACCAGCGAGTCGGCCACCCCAGCGAGTCGGCCACCTAACACTAGCAACCTGCCGTCGCAACAACAACGCGCAATGTCTTAACACTACAACCTACAAAACACATATACTAAAAGTGATATATTCCTTGCTATTACTAATATCACCTCTAAGTAAATTTAGAGCAAAAGGTGTGCTGTAGTAGTATATACTGTGCCTTAATTAACGCTACAAGACTAACGCGCTGGACGCTGCCCTTAACGCGACTGCAAGCTAAACGCAAAGCGCCTTACAAAGCTAGAAGAGGAGGTAATTATAGCACGTGTACTTGAGGAGTCTGCCTGTAGACTACCCCCCTTAAAGGCAGATGTGCGAGATATAGCGGATAAACTGCTAAGAGAGTGTGGTAGTAACGCTGTTGGCAAGAACTAGGTTGACAGGTTTATCTAGCGTACACCTGAGGTGCGAACGCGATAGACCTGTCTGTACGATTGCTAGCGAGCTGCCTGTGAGGACCTGGCGGTTATCTAGCCCTAGTTTACGCTTGTTTAGTTAACAAAGGTAAAGTATAGTATTATAGATAAAGACATGTACAACTTTAATAAGTCTAGCTTCCTAATAGGCAAGATCTTGTTGCAGCTAGTAGTAACAGGCTTAGAGAAGCCTAGGAAGCAGAAGAAACTCTAACCTAGTAATTGTGAGTAGGTTACCCTAGTACAAGGCGTTAGGTTAACAGGGAAGGTTATCCTACTATTCCTTATCCTTGCTAGCAAGGTTCTAATCTCTAACTAGTTTACTAAGGACCTACTACGTGACTAGGTTATATAAGTAAGCCCTACTAGCTAGACTAATAATAATCTAGCGCTTGCCTGGCTTAAACACTTTAACTTACATGTAAAGCTAGTTAGGGTGTACTAGCTACTTATTATTAACAGCTATAAGAGCTACTGCTTAGCAGAATTCTAGGATTACTATAAAGAGAAGAAGATAATTACTCTCTGTATGCTAGCACACTTGTTACACTTGTTGCAGCTACTTAACATTGCCTGCTTCTTGCTGCTAAAGCGCACGTATAGTAATAAGATCTTAGCCTTAGCACGCAGTTGCATCTACTATATTAACAAGGAAACCTTCCTACCAGCCTTTAAAGCAGCTTTTAAGAAGGCGTTTACAGCAGAGAACGTTTGCGCAGGCTTTAGAGGTGCTAGGCTAGTCCTACACAACCTAGAGGTTGTGTTATTAAAGCTTAATGTGCGTCTGCGCACGCTAACACTACTAAAACCTAGCAACGTTGCCTAGGAGCCAAAGACACTACGCAACGCTCACAAAATAGAGGAGCAGTTAACTCTAATTTAAAAGCGCATTTAAAACTATTAAGGGTCCCCAGCAAGTTTGTTAGATAAACAAGTCAAACAGTTAAGTAAGGGTGCTCAGCAGATAGCACATAATATAGTGTTGCTGCAGGAGGAAGTAGGCCACCTTCAAGACGCTGTAGAAGCGTCTACAAAGCGCAAGACCCATAAGCAACGCTATATACGCGCAGAGGAGACCCTTACAATTAGCAAAGTAGCTAACTTAGTTGCTAAAAAGGAGGGTAGCAGTCATAGTAAGGG